AAAGTTCAATACTGTGCATGTTGTTTGACGTTCCTAACAGAACCCAACAATAAGTGTTAATGTCAATAATCAACAGTAATCAATAATAAAAAAGGTATGGTCTCATCATGTATACGAAACAATAATCTATCCCATTCTCCCATCAATAATACAATAATCAGACTCATGTGCACACCTACGTATAGACTACTGCTGACTATATATCAAATGCCCTCCGGTCCTACATCGAGTGCCAGCCAGTAGGAGTAATCCACCCCACTAGCCAAGGTATTGCCTTGGACTTACCAATGAGGATCACCGGCCGAGGGACCTAAGCCCTGGTCTTACGGCTTCTCAAGGGAGACTACCCGAAGGTACGTTCTATAGCTACGAGGACAACCGTCAGATGGCCGATACAGCTCACACCGAAGGCTACGCGATTCACATGCATACTTTGATCATACCACAAATAAAACAGTAATAACATTTAAGGCATAGTAAATTTTTAAAATAAAACCCACCTGAAAATTTCGGTAGAAAATGGCACACAAAAGCAAGTACGTAGGATGAGGCTCGACTTTTCAAACACCTACATTTAAGCGAGATATTTTATCAATAATTTATCTCACTACTCGAATTTCACATAAAACCCGTACTTAATAAAAATTAAGACTTAAGGGTTTTAATCAAATTTTTTTGTGGACGAACTCTCCTATTTTGCAAAATAGGACCCGAAAAATTAATTTGGAGTCTCGGGACTTGAAATAATTTTTCCCAAATATTTTCTCATTTTATAAACAACATTTAAAATTGAAACCGGTACAAAAAACGGGTCCCGAGACACAAAATAGTCAAAAAGGCGAATTGGGTCCGCGCTGGATTTTAACTGCCGCTGAAATGGGCTGCCACACGCGGAAAAATGGGTCGCAACTGAGGGTATTGGGCCGCAGCAAGCCTGCTACCAGCTGAGTTTCACGCGGGCCGAGAGAGGGCTGGGACGCGGGCTTCAATTTCTGACAGTATGCGGGCGCTCGCGGGCTGGTTGCAGGCCTTACGACCCGCACACTTCTCCTCTGACTATTGAGCAAGTGGGCCGCGAGTTGGGCCGCAGGGAATGGGTTTTAAAACAATATTGGGCTGCAGGTATTGGGCTAAGGAATAAACTGCTGGGAGAAAAATTTAGTAAGTCTCATGGGGTACAAAATGTAAAAATAAAACTTTGGGTTGAACAAAACTTAAAGCAAAAATGGCCTGCGAACATTATAGAAAGTGAACCACACAATTGTTTGGGTCTCATGGGTTTAAACATAATTTATGTTGCTGCGAACAGAACAAATGTCCACAGATTACTGAGCAACTTCCGGCGACAGTTTGACAATTTGGCACTCACGGGGTTCGAAATATCTTAGAAAATTTTCAAGTAAATAACTTTTTCCAGAGTTCGAAAATCCTATAAAAAAACGGGTCTTCGGCCGAAAAACGAAAAGACATTTATACTCGAACAACACATAAACAAAAGAGACGACCCGGAAAATTTCAACGAGACTCCGAATCTATCATTAAATTGCAGCAATTAAAAACAGACTCGATTTAACTAAGTCGAGAGTTCTAGTATGTCCATGCCAATTCACGATTTCACTCAATAATTATCCAAAATTCAACAAACGAAACCGAACTAGAAAAACAACGAAATGATTCAACTTGAATGAAAATAAACGAACGATGTTATCCTGAATAACAATTAACGAGAAGGTTCAAAAAGATTACTCGTCTTCGGGTATCTACGAGCTATCGGGAAACGGGTCGGACTAACGGAACGGAGGGACTCGGACTCGGTGCTGCTTACGAATGGCCTGGCCACGTATAGAGGCTCCTCACGATGGACGGCGACCCAGACTCAACGAGAAACGGGGACTAGCAGGTTCCCGGAGCTACTTGCCGGAATAATGGCGAACGGGGCTTCTGTTAGTTTTTCACGACGGGCCTGCTGCGTACCTCTCGAATGATGTTCTACTACTGCTCGGCGACGGCGGACAGGCTGAACGCGGTCGATGGGAAAAAGGAGCTTTCGCCGGAAAAATTACAGGTTTCGCGATTTTTGTTTTGTTTTTTTTTTTTTTTGGAGCGAGTTGCTACTTTGAACTGAGAGAGAAGATGTAACTTCGAACTTGTTGATGAAGTGGAAAAGAGGGCTTGTCCAGTTCTTATGCAGGTTCGGGGAGGGGATGAACGTGCGAGATCAATTCTCCCCAAAAATCGCGACGAGAAACAGAAGGGGAAGACTTGTTCTTTGCGGGTAATCTGGAAGGATTCCAAAAGCTGCATGTGGCTTCTCTAATTGGACCAAGGCAATAAACTCAATTGGGCTAAGATGCTTATCAAATTTGGGCCAAAAGATTTTGAAGGTATTGGGCCATTCCTTTAATCTCACAATGGGGCCAATAACTTAGCATATCAAATGGGTTGAAAATAGATTTCAAATAAATTGATCCGTTATAGAACTCAAGACTCGATATATCACTGCGAGTACATCAACGGTAGCGATTTACACGATTGACGATGAATAATAGATTAATCCGGATTATTTATATTTATAATACACACAATATATATTTATATAATAATAATCATTTAAAAACAATTAGACAATTAATAATAATAATAATAATAATAATAATAATAATAATAATAATAATAATAATAATAATAATAATAATAATAATAACAATAATAATAATAATAATAATAATAATAATAATAATAATAATAATAATAATAATAATAATAATAATAATAATAATAATAAATAATCCATAATATTCATAAACAATCGGGGCATTACACTATTAGCTATTTAATTATCTAGTAAGAATAGGATTCTAGATATTTAGTTGCCTTAGGATTTTATTTATTTCCAAGAGTATGAGTTCTAGTTAGAATGGGGTTAGAACTATTTAGCCTCTATAAATAGTGGGAAATTGTGATTCGATTTTATCATCATTGAAGTAATAAGAAAATCTGAACTTTTGTTCAATCTCTTGTGTTAGAATTCTTTTGAGTTTTAGTACAAAATCCCTGTGACGAAAAGGGCGTTTCACCGTATAGTTTGAACAAGACGAGTTTGGCAAGGACTCACGTCCAAGCTGTCTCACCTATCGCGAGAAGATAAGGAGATAACCTCCGAGTCGTCCGCACCTATCGCCGAGAAGGAAGCCTTGGCAAAGCAACTTTCGAAGCAAGTCGAGTTGAGCAGATACACGATCTTCATCATTGGTGCTTTCGTTGAGAGGTGCTAGATCGTGTGTCTTCTTCTTCCACATTCTTTTATTTTTGTTTATTAAAAAAAATCATCATGGCCAAAGAAACCAAGGAAAGGCTCAACGATCTTGAAGCTAGGATGGTGAGCTTGAGCGAAGGATTGGAAGCAACAAACACGAACATGACCAACAACATGGCTCACCTTGAGCGGTCAATCCACAACTCGCAACAAAGCATGATGTAAGCCATGAATCGCCGCATCAATGAAGTGTTACACATTATTCGACCACCACCACCACGAGAAAGAGAACATGCAAGGGCACGGTAGAGGGAGTATCAAAGCGAGAGGGCCGAGTTCGAGGAGAGGGAGGAAGAATTCGACTGCAGCTCGCAAGCCTCGACCAACCAAGAAAGGCCGAGAATCGAGAAGCCGGGGTTGGTACTATCCACCTTCAACGGAACAGACCCAAGCAAATCGTTAAACTAAGCCGTACAGTGCTTCAATCTCAACGAGACCCAATAGACTGATTGGGTCAGGTACGCCGCGTACTACCTCGACGACGAAGCGAACGTTTGGTGGCAATGGCTCTCGAGCATCTACCAAAACAGAAACGAGCCAATAACGTGGGAAGACTTCGAGAAAGAGCTCATCACGAGATTTGGAGCTTCGGATTACCATAACTATGATGAGGCTCTATCGCACATCAAGCAAGCCGGAAGTGTACGCGACTATCAACGGGAGTTCGAACGCATAGCCTGTCGCGTACACAGATGGCCCGA